CCGGCGACTACTGTATTCGAAATAGGGTCTTTGTTCTTCATTGGAATTTGTAGGTAACTGATTTACTCATACCGTGGTGCTCTTGTCTGTACTTGTACTTATAAATTATTATTATAAATCAGTCCAAATCGCTAAATATCTCACGCAGTATATTGGTCGGTTCCAGGTAGGACGCTGTATGAATTTGTCGGGCCCAAGGAAGTATTCAGATAACGTCAATTATCCAGAATAATGAAGGGATCAAAACGTAATCCACAAAAGTTGCTTTTATAAATGTGAATGTCCAAAAGAGAAGAAAATATCTCAAACGATGAAAACTTTCAAGTTTGTCTGGCGCTATACTTCACCCAATCGCAGCTTGCAGCAGTAGAAAACTGTATGCATCTATCGGATCTTAGAATATATTTGGATGACGTCATCTATGAGAGGGTGAAAATATAATCCAGGAGACATGCTTTTATACATTTTAATGTCCAAAAGGCAAGAAAATACCTCAAACAATTAAGACTAGCAAGTTTATCTGGCGCAATAATTCACCAAATCGCAGCTCGCAGCAGTAGTTGCTTTAAAATACACTGGAAGAACCGCTTTTAAGGATGGTTGGGTAATCATATATTAGACTTTGCCTGCAGGCTATAGGTTTCCACATTGGATTCTCGCCGAGGTGCAACCAACTGGAGCTCGTGGATGACCTTTCCATCTCGAAGCAGCCGCTCTCGGACCCAATCCAAATCTGCCTGGCTACCATTCTTGCTCTGGATGCTGTGGTGCAGGGGGACGTGTTCAACGAAGGCATACCTCTTCGCCAGGTTTCTGCACGGCAACATCACACCTTCAGTTCCATTCTCAAAGATGTGGGAATAGAGCTGGGTGTAGCAATCCTCCTTCCCAGGGAAACTCTGCAGCAGAACGGCAAATGTGTTTCTTGGCGTCGGAACCCAGAACTTGTTGAATGGTCGGAGCAGCAGGGGAAAGACATCAGATTTGGCATAGGTATCATACCGAAGATAGGATGGGGCGAGTACATGTACGTGCGTCAAATTGGTGGAGTAGTAACTAATGTCAATGTAGGGCCAGCCCCAATTGTAGGCACTCAATTTACGACTTCCGTACACGTCCTCAGGGGAGTTTCTCGGTTCAATTAACCTTGCGTAGATCTTGTCCCTCGGGCCAAGCCCCATAACGAGAATGTCGGGTTGAAACCTACGCATCATGGCTCTGAGTTCTGGCCT